AGGAAAACATAGGAATTTATCCTTCAAAATGATAATGACTGGAATAAACATTCTATTTCTGTGCAGTTATGAGAAATTATTTTTCATTTGCATCTGTTTGGCAACCTTTTCAGTATGTATTACGTGGTGTTTATAATGAAATAAAAATTCTAAAATGAAATCGTTTAATTCTGAGGAAAAATGTAACAAAACTAACGTTAATGTCAAATATACGAACTCTGTCTTGAAGATGGTTTTATAAGTCGTTTATTGACTGATTTGAATGTTGTCTTTTGTTTTCATATGAAACAGATTGGACAGCATCCAAAAGAGCCTTCAGCATTCATCTTAGTTGATAATTTATTTTATGCCAGTGTAAATGTTCCACATCGGAAGGCACCACCAAATCTGTTCAAATCGTTCAACGATTGAAAAACCGCGTTTGAATGATTGGCCTACACTAACTTTTCAGAAACTCTGGCTCCGCTGATTTCCTGGACCAAAAATTAATGTTTATTTGAGGTCTTCTCACATAACCATTTGGAATCCGACGGATTTAGAAACTCGGGATAATCAATCCAGGGCCAGGATTGGTTAATTCCAGGAACAAACGATTCAGGATAATAACTTTCTTGATGTTTCAGGATAATAACTAAAACCAATATATTAAGTTGAATTTCCGAAATCGATACATTTGAAATGTCCGATCAGACAAGACAGGATCTATCTGAGCAAACGTAAAAAAAAAAAATGGTCGATCACTTAAATGGATAATATGAACGATAGATAAGACAAGATTCATTATATATTTTTTTAAGATGTTTGTAGATGGTGTCTTTGTTTATCGTTCGCTTTTGAAAAATCTAGACATTTAACATTAAAACCTATAACTTAAGTTCTTTTTAGCTTGTTGATGTGTGTAGTGGCTATGAAAAATCCCACAACCTCTCCTTTAACAAAATGGTTTAAATCTTAAGATTTTTATCGAATGATAAAATTAACTTTACTATCTCGAGAAAACAGGTGGGCGTTACACTTATGTTTTTAAGTATATCAATAATATATTTCAATGGACTTTTAAATACTGAATATTTAAAAAAAGTTGAAATGCTTCAAAAAAAATCATTTAACCATTAGAGGTTAAAATTTGTCAATCGAAAAATATGGTATATTTGATTCGTTTTATTCAAAATGACATAGGTATTCAAGTAACTGTTTTTTATTTAAATGATTATATAGTGATAGATATATACAATCACGAAAAAGAGCAAGACTTTATTGAATGAAGGAAGGTGAGATGAAAAATGTACAAAATTTACATCATTTCGGACTATTGTCCTCATCTGTTCTCATCAGTCACGTTAAATGCGTACACCATCTAAAGGGCCACTTTATTTAAATGTAACTTTGGGACCCAATTTGATCTCGTAAACTGTTCTAGTTCCTCGTGCCATGTTTCCAGACAGTTTCTGACGGTATCCTGTTAAATCCCTTTATTTACCATATTCGGATATTGACAAACAAGGTGTCTATTGTTGATAATATCTCGTTGGTTAGTTCCTGCAGGACCCAAAGAATGCAATCGGTTAAGGCAGCCTTAACATAGAACAAATTTGTTTCTGTGTCCTTTTATCAATATTTTGACACTACAAACATTTTTCTCACAAATGCGATGTCGGATTGTCGTATACTAATATTTCGTTGATGGTTGACAGAGAGATTTTTGAAAAATTCATTTATATTTAATTATCGGCTATTTTCCTTTTAACAATGCTGAATGTATTTATGTCAGTTACATATTTTAAATCGTTATGCTGTTTTGTTATAACGGAACATCCCTATTCTATTGTAACAAAATAACGTTAATGTCAAATATACGAACTCTGTCTTGAAGATGGTTTTATAAGTCGTTTATTGACTGATTTGAATGTTGTCTTTTGTTTTCATATGAAACAGATTGGACAGCATCGAAAGTGGAGTTGGCATTCATCTTAGTTGATTTGGACTTAAATGTTCCATCGGAAACCACCAAATCTGTTCAAATCGAGCGAGAAAAAACCGCTTTGAATGATTGGCCTCTCCTTTCAACTTTGGTACGTCGGACAAAAAATTAATGTTTATTTGATCCGACTTAACACCATTTGAAACGACGTGGAAATACAAGCCTCCACACAAACGATGAAAACTCCCTTTCTTGATGTTTCAACATATTAAGGTAATTTCCATCGATCTTTGAAATACCGATCACCGAAGTTGAGCAACGTTGAACTTGGTCGCTACTTATGAAAGATGAATACAAGATTCTCAGTGCCTTGTGTAGATTCATTAATGGAATAAATTCCATTGAAAATCAGACAATAACATTTAAACCTCACTCGAGTTCCTTATAATCGATACTTGATAGGCGAGAGGATGATTCGACCCGATCAATACTCTATTAACCTATGGTTTAAAATCCAGTGCCTAAAATTTATCTTACTATCTCCAAAACAATTCTTTTACAATCCAATAATATATTTCTACATTTTGATCTGAAAAATTCTCGTCTCCCTATACCGCTCCAGCCTCTAGCTTGAGTGGCTCTTAGGATTTTTTCTAAATTTTCTGACAATAACATTAAAAAAACGCCCATTTGTTTGAATGAATGGATTCCAGAGCGAGAACAGATCATGTGAGCAACGACAGAATCTTTAAGATAAATGATACTGCCAATCAGAAAGAGACAGTGTAAATTTCTGAGACAGATAATGAGGAAAGAAGATTTAGCGAATCTAACACTCGCAGGATATATTAAAATCGAGTGGGACATGGGAAAGCAATGACAAACATACTTATTTAGTTGGTGCGAATGAATTATAAAGAAAAATAACAACAAGGAATTAGGAAAATTACTTATATCAAGAAAATACTGGATGTTGTGGTGAGCCATAATCCTCCGCGTCATGAAGAAATATGGTACATTAAAGAAGACGATAGTAAGATTATGTTTGCAACTCAATCGCGAGACAAGGATAATTATATCAGATTGTGGAAGGAAGATATCTTCAAATCGAAAATAAAATATCATTCAACAATGAAGTTTTTTGAAACAAAGTAAGGCAGCCTGTATATTCTTTGTCCTGACGCCATCAATAATACCCCAGACAGTCAGGATTTTACAAAAGTTGATCTGTTTTTTTTTCCTAAGCCATTTTGATCACCATTGCTACTTCCAGTTACATTATATTGAGAAGAATTGAGTTGAAATATTACTGCAATGGAGGTGAGTTTCATTCCTCTGTAAATTTTGCCAGTCCGAGATCTCCTTTCTTTAGGAATGGAAGTCTTCAGAATTCTGTCCATCATCTTGAGTAATCTGCTTTATATGCGGAATTGTTGAGTTGGAATAGAATATCGTTGAAATCCTGAGGTTTCCAATCATGCGAGATAATGTTATCAAGTTCCGCTTCTTTCCTAGTATTTGTGATTTTAAAACCGTATGAAGTTCTGCATATGCAAAGCAGGCCGACTTACTTTTTGTAAATTTTACTAACACTTTCGTTTCTGTACAGAAATAAAAATAATTGGTCAGATCGTTCTGGCATATGGCTACACCTCTGATAGAGTACCTCCTATATAAAAATAACTAATTTTTGGTTACATCACAGACGGAGACACTAACTTCTTTAACATCAAACATGAGTCCTCCCGGATGACACCTTTGCAACTTTTCGTGTTGTTACACCCTTGACTACGTATTAAGAACGACCCGCGAAAAACATCATCATCAAGAGGTTTCATTATCACCAAACTTTCAAATAGATATCCTGCATAATTGTTTACAGATAATGACTATGCATATGACATAATTTTCACTGCAGACACCATTATCTACGTCACTCCTACATCTAGAAAATGCTGCCAATGGTGTTGAACGCTATGTCAATGGCTCTAAAACTGAATTCACAGGGTTCATCCAGAAGGGCTCAATACAAACCGTCTCAGATGAATCAATAAAATCTATCAAATCTTTTACATACCTCGGAAGCGAGATAAATTCCACTGAAAAGGATATGAAAATGCCCATAGCTAAAGCCTGGGTCACCTTGAATAAATAGGGTGTAATCTGGAAATATGATCTACCAGACAATATTAAGCGGAGATTCTTTCTAGCCAGTGTAGAGAAAGTGTTAATGTATGGTACCATTGCCTGGAGATAGACCAAAACCCTGAAGTCTAAAATTGATGGAACCTACAATCGAATGCTGAGAACTATACTTAACATCTAGAGACAACATCCAACAAGACCACATCTCTATGGACAGTTCACTGACATGTCTACAATCTCACGCGAACGCAGAATTCGCTTTACAGGCTACAAGAAATTTGAGCGTGATCTACTGTTCTGAACACCTAGCCATAGAGTAAGACACTTTGGTCGCACAGCAACTACATTCCTTGATTAACTATGTAGAGAAAAAGAAGCCATACTAATTACCTTTCGACCTTGATGGAAAACCGTGATGTTTGGCGTGATATACTAGTGAATGTCTGAGCTAATTCAACTGAATTAAAAAATAATAATGCTTTTAATGTATTTCTCCTGTTCATTTCGGGATTTATAATACTGAAAAATCTTATTCAAGATTTTCTTTTAAACAACATTGATTTTATTTCAAAATCTTTTTGCTTCAGGGGAAATACTGATAAAAACATGATAGACATAAATATATATATATATATATATATATATATATATATATATATATATATATATATATATAAAAAGAGAGAGAGGGGGAGTGAGCAAGATAAATTTAAGGATAATAGCAACATTAGCCGTTTCCCTACATGAAAATATTTGGCATTTATTGATTAAGCAGCCAGTACTGCTTTTGGTTCAAATTTCTAAAATCTTTCTCTTGAAACAATTTAAATCCATTGGCTATTATTGCTCTTTCCAGTATTGATGGGGTTTCTTTCCTAATCATTTATTTGAAACGGTGTGGAGCGTTAACATTTTCATTATATCATTATTTTCTCTATTTTAGTTGTGGTTGCTGTTGGTAAAAAGAAAGAAAGGATAAAAAACTATTGCAGAGAAAAGGAAAGATATACAGAGTGTGAGGGAAAATTAGATATAGAGGAAATAAAAGAAAGGAGAATAGGAAGAAAGATGGAAAGGGCAAAGAAAATAGACAGAGATAAAGAGGTAGATAGAGAAGGGCAAAAAAATAGTGTGTGAAATTGAGAGATAGAAAGGAAGGAACGGGCGAGAAAAGATAAAGGGAGACAATTGTAAACAATGGTATATAAATGTATAGACTGATGACCGCAGGATGAGAGAGAGAGAGAGGAGAAAGGTGGGGGGGGGAATAGAGAAGGAATGAGAAGAAGAGAATGAAAGGGATACACAGAGGATGAAAATGATGAAATATCTGAATAAAAGAGAAATAGAGAAATGTATATAAAGCGAACGATAGATGAAAAGAACGACGGGAGAAAGCGAAAGAGAGGAAGAAATAATGAATATGGAGAAAACGAATAACGGAGATAAGGAGAGCTAAATGTAAATATAGAGAGAGTGAAATAGGAATTACCAATATACAGATGGAAAGAGAAGAGAAAAAGAAGAAAGACATTGAAATTGACAGATGCAGAGAAAAACAAGTAAAGCATTAGAGAGAGAGAGAGAGAGAGAGAGAGAGAGAGAGAAAGAGAGAAAGAAAAACTCTAGGAAAAGAGGAAAAAAGTGAAATGAATATAGATAAAGAACGATGAGGAGTGGGTGAAAAATGGAAGTAATTGTTTAACAATAGAGTTAAATATAGAGATTACAATAAGTAGTAGAAAAAGAAAGAGAAGAACAGAGTGAATGAGAGAAAAAAGAAAGGCGGCGAAATCGTGATGAAAAAGAAAGTGACGAATCCGGAGAGGAAAATAAAGATACAGTAAAAACAATTGCGAGAAAGCCTGAGATAGAGAAAGAAACATATAGGAAGAAAAAGAGGAAGAGAGATAGAGAAAAAAAAAAGATAGACAGAAAGATAATGCGGAGGAATAGAAAAATAGAGGTAAGAGAAATGTCTAATAGAGATACAAAGATAGACATAGAGGGGAAGAGAGGGATAAATGAGACAGAAAGTAATTCATAGAGAGAGGAATAGAGTGTTACAGAAAAAGGTGGCAAACGGAGAAAGAGAAAAGAGAAATATAGTAAGTGAAAAACGGGGAATACAGAAAATAGAGAAAACTTGAAACAAGGCGAGTAAGAGGGGGGATAAAAAAATAAAGGATGAAAACAGAGAGATATAAAGAGAAACAATAACGACTTAATATAGGTAATAGACGTAAATACGCCGATAAGCGCAGAGGCTCATGTTAAAAGAAATACAATAATTAAATATAACTTTTCTGATTTCCCCCTGCCAACATCAACGAAATGTTATAATCATTGCTTTCTGGTTAATTTAATGTAGAAAGATATATTAATTAAATAAACTATGAACCAACGCAAATCTTAATGTACATTTAATAATCGTCAAAGCTAATAATATATTTATTCAAGGGCTTTTTAAATTAAGGGCAATTAGGAATAATTAATTAGCCAGTCTTTAATCAATGGCCACTTAAGAAACGACATGTTTAAGAGAACGGAAAAGAAACGAGGAACGATAGACAGTTTCTCCATCGTCCTGTCTCTCCGTCCGAGCCAGCCTCGTATAAATGGGCGCCACCACGTAATATGAAAAGCCTGGGCATAATCAGCCTATGCCTATGATTTGATCACGCCAAAACCACGTGAATATGCGTCGTAACATGGCGGAAACGAAATACTTGAAGTGATCTGCGTAGATTCAATATATCTATTAGTGAATATAGTTAAGAGGAAAGCTAAAACATGTAAATGTACTCGCATTAATTTATGAGTTTACGTAATTATGTATACTGTTGAATAATCTGACCTGTGTTGCGTCACGTGGCCAACTCAATCGTGAAACTTGGGACAAGTACGAGCCGAACACCTGCAGGTGGGTGTAGTTGTGCTAACCAAACTCTCCATAGAGGAAGCGCATGGAGAATTAGACTTTGGGAGTGCTGTAAGCCATTTAAAGAAAATATAAATATAAACTCAACGACTGATGATTTATCAGATAAATAATAAAAATATCAACAAAGTAAAGAATTAAGTTATAAATATCTAAGTAATAAAGTATTATTATTGTTTCTGATATATATATATATATATATATATATATATATATATATATATGTGTGTGTGTGTGTGTGTGTGTGTGTGTGTGTAAAATATATAGAAAATAGGAAAGAACTCGTTAGGTAAATAGTCCAAAGTTCTTTAGTATTTTTGTTATTATTTTTTAAAAAATAGTGCTCGATACAAAAGTAGAGCATAAATATAATTTTAAAATTGTTGGAATCATATTTTTAAATAATAAATTATATATATATATATATATATATATATATATATATATATATATATATATATATATATTATGAAATGGACAAAGTCATACAATTATTTTAAGGCATTTTTATGTTTATCTTTATATTTATGTTTATATTTTATTTTTATATTTCTCCAACATTCAGGCCGGTAAATGTTGTTAATACTGTTTATTATAAACAGAGCATTTACTTAAATATATGTATCTATAAAAAGAATGTATGAACATAAAAAATGTCTTTTTATATATACATATATATATATATATATGTGTGTGTGTGTGTGTGTGTGTGTGTGTGTGTGTGTAGTAATCCGTTGCTATAATCCAAGTGAATCCTGTTAACACAATATATAATTTGCAATATTAAGTATTAAATGTTAAGACTGACTCACAATGAGCGCTTAATGTTTATTAAACAGAACAATTTTTTTTCTTAAATTGGAATTAAGAAGACCATTTTCACCTACGAATTTTAAAATTCGCAGAATTTTTCAAACTGTTTATGATGTCAGTTTGTAGAAGGAGATTTGTTAGTTGGGGAAGAAAAGGGAGAGAGGATGTCAGAGGAGCAGAGTGAAAGAGAAGACAAAAGAAGGTATAGTTACAGGAAGTAATGTGGGGTATTATATTATGGAGGTAGGAGTGGGCAGGGGCAGAGAAGGGGAAGCCGATAAGCTGACCTACATCTTAATGGTCACAGGGCTAAAACTTGATTCAAAAGGAATCCACAGAAATTAATGAAAAAATAAAAAAGTTTAATTTGTATAAAATATCAAGAGTTAACCTAAGTGAGATGAAAGGGAGATAATTCAGAATTATCGGCGTATTAAATTCGTCAATATATCAGAAACCCCAAAATGAAGGGAAGTGTTTCAAAAATTTGGAGGGAATTTGAATATACATGCGTTCACACGTGTCTGTACACATTATGAACATCTCTACCCGTACAGCCTTCTATACGTATATACGCATAGATACCCTAATACATGAACATACATGCATACACTAGCCGATAGGTATCTACATATAAACCCCTATGTTAGGATAAAATTTATTCAAAAGGGAATAAAAGCAGTTAAATTAAAAATACCTTATCTTTTTAAAACGGGCCTTAACTCAACCGCAATTAAATAGAATTATAAAATAAATATGACAATGAAATAAAATTATTAAGTACGAAAGTATAACAATTAATTATTTCCCTTGGATATGTATCCCAATGTATTCCCTTGGATATATATTCCAATGTACTCCCTTGGATATATATTCCAATGTATTCCCTTGGATATATATTCCAATGTATTCCTTTGGATATATATTCCAATGTACTCCCTTGGATATATATTCCAATGTATTCCCTTGGATATATATTCCAATGTACTCCCTTGAATATATATTCCAATGTATTCCCTTGGATATATATTCCAATGTATTTCCTTTGGATATATATTCCAATGTACTCCCTTGGATATATATTCCAATGTATTCCCTTGGATATATATTACAATGTATTCCCTTGGATATATATTCCAATGTATTTCCTTTGGATATATATTCCAATGTATTCCCTTGGATACATATTCCAATGTACTCCCTTGGATATATATTCCAATGTATTACCTTGGATATATATTCCAATGTACTCCCTTGGATATATATTCCAATGTATTCCCTTGGATATATATTCCAATGTACTCCCTTGGATATATATTCCAATGTATTCCCTTGGATATATATTCTAATGTATTCCCTTGGATATATATTCCAATGTCACGTCTTCAATCTCGCAATCTAATACGTATCGTTAACCTTTAATGGTACTATTAAATTAATTTATTAACGTTGAATACATGATAGATGATATACGCTTTTTGTACTTATACATATTCATATGGTCATAATTACTTCAGGCGCTGGTATGGGTGTTTTATGTCGTAGTTTTTATTTTTTGAAGCTATATTTCTGAATATAGTTTGATTTCTGTTAGAATGATATGGATGAATATCCTGAAAGGTATTTCATGTTGGTTGTTGGTTGATGTTTCAAGCGACTTATAAAATTCTACGGGCCATTTAATTGCCGAAATCTAAATATTTTCAACACAGTTTAATGAATTCAATTAAATATATGCAATAAATAGTTATTGTTTGGTAATTTTACTATAAAGTGAGCTAAGTATTTTCTCTTAATAAAAAAAGTATTCTTATGCTTTCATAGTCTTTTATTTTAGTTTGTTTGCGTTTTAAATATTTGGCCATATCAATGATCATAACAGGCGCTACCACCCTGAACAGGATGGAGTAGGGAACAACAGTAATTAAGAGGTCGTTCCATGTTCCTCAAACACTCCAGCCTCTCGATACTGCCAGATGTAGTTTATCGTTATATGCTAGTAATCTTTTTTATTATTTAAAAAAAAAAAAAATTTCATTGACATCTCTATCCGTTTGAATTTTGTTCATGAATTTAATTCGTGACTGTTTCTAGATGGGTAATCTCTTTTACTTAAAGTTTAGTTAAGTTAATATGGAGTAATATCTGAAGGTAATATTAAAGATATTGTTCTGTCATATACTGTATACACACCCATACAAATCTCACATATACATACGTTCAACATTAATTTGAAAAATATTACCCTTTAATAATCATTATTTATGATAAAATATTTAAATTGGAAATATTTTTTGATATTTATGTAGGTGTAAATACATGAAATTACCTGTGTATATCGGTACATGGGTACGTGTATGAGTTATTGCATATGTAAAGAAACGTATGTAAAAAATTTAAAAAAAAAATCAAAAAGATTACTAGAAGTAAACTTATATTTTAAAATAAAATTTTATTCTTTTAATGTATTTTCTATGAATATTTTTTCTAATCGACTATTTCATAGAAAATCACAAAATTTTAAAATCGCTAACAAACATCAAATTAAATTTTTTGTAGACTGTTTAGACATTGAAACTTATATCAAACATTATAATCTTTATGAACACCCAAAATAACACTTTCAAATTAAATCAAAATTACGACGTCTTTTTCGAGCTTGTTCTTTCCAAAGAAAATTAGTGACACTATCTCTCATGACTTCCTTCTCACTTTTTCTTTTTGTGTCTTTTTTCTCCTCTGCCCCTTCGATATCAATATATAACTTCCGTTAAGTTAACCGTTTAAATGTGTCAATGTCTGGATCTCCTCAAGTAATTTTAATTATGAAAGAATAGAAATTTTAAATTACATCTAACTCACTCATGTCTTCTCTCTGTCCCCTCACTTCCTCACTTCGTTAATTTACATATGCTTAATACGGCCCGTCAAAAATGTGTAAATTTCTTTTCATTTTTCATTTCAACCTTTGGAAGTAAAGTCTCATGATCCGCAGTCTTTTAAAAAGGGCTGTGGTGAAATAATTTAATACATGGAACCTTAAAGTGGTCTGTTTTTATTTGAATTATTTGCTTTGGATTTACATTGAGCTCTCTGGATTTTATCCTCCATGAGTCTACCCAGGCGGATTACCTAGTTTTTCATAATATATAATATATATATATATATATATATATATATATATATATATATATATTTACAGTTGAATCCGTTACATTCAGTTACATGCTAATAGCATTGAGAAAGGTATTAATACTATCCATCTTGCCACAGCTATGCAGAACAGACTGGTTTCTATAGCCTTGTATGGCAACTGCTCTAACAGAAGAATATGACGGGAGTGTATATATATATATATATATATATATATATATATATATATATATTTACGTATGTGAGTGTGTGTCGTATCTGTATGCGTGTGATTGAATTAACATTACCATTTTCTTTCCAGTAGCTAGATTAATATTAATTTGTTATCTAACTGTTCACTCTTTTCGATGACTGATGTTGTAAGCTTAGTTGTACTTCTCTCCTCAAATTTATCCTAATAGAAGATATTCGAACTTATACGGAGTTAAAACGTAATAGATTAATATCATCAGCAAGATCCATAAATCTACCTACACATTTCTCCACGGATCCTAAACATAACTCCACCTCTCTTACTCCCAACTTTTACTTCTTTCCTAGTTAAGAGTTGATGGAAAATTATCAATTCAAATAAGAGTCAGTGTCCCGGTGCAAGCAGTGAAAATAAAGCTCAAATTTAATTGCTGTTAAATAGTAAGGAAGCTGTGCTGATATACACTAAAATCGTCCTAAAAACTGTATATTCTAAATCTTTAAGTCCTGACACGGAGGTTCGAGACAGTAAACGAAACCCCAAAACGAGTAGAC